TAGAAAAGCATCTAGCCAGCTGCATATGAAGCCAAAGATGGCAAGGCAATAATAAAAGAAAAGATGCCACTTTGATGAAAAAGCAAAAAATGCATGTGAAGATGTAGACCCCAAGAGGAAAAGAATAGAGAGGCATGTGAGCCTTTTTTCAAAATTCTGATGTATGCAATGATGTAATAGATCAATAATAGTAAGTTTGAGTCATGTATAAATAGAGGTCTTTGGGGAAAGAATGGCATCTCGAGTTAGAAACCATTCTCTTTCCTTAAGTTTTTCAAAACCAGTTTTTCTGGAAAACCCTTTGTATACAATAGAAACCTTGTATAAATCATTATAGAAATAAAATCCCAATCTTTTGATATCAGAAAAATATGAGTTTCTAAATTTCTTATCCCATAGATTCTTGATAGATTGAAGAAGATAATTTCTTTCTTACTTTAACAAAGAGAGAATTTTCTTTACTTAAGATCTTTATTCTTAATTCTAAGAAAAGATACAGTGAGGGCAAGAAGCTGAAATAGCAGAATTCCCATTGAGGCAAGAGGCCGTTTGAGGGAGTAGTTTGCAGATTCAGAGCCTGAAGGTCACTCGGTACTAAGAATACAGATTTAAGATCAAAAGTAAGGTAAAATTATTGTCTTTGTTAAATTTAGAAAGAATTCTTCTAATATCTTGAAAGAATCGTAGGGATTTCTACTTTTCATGTTTGTAAAAAACTTATCTAACATGTTATTATTCATAAAGCTTGCAAGAAATTATCTGAATAATGCCAGGTTATACAATTAAAGGATTAGATAATCTGTTAGAAAAACTATTGGAAAAAAATAAGAAATATTTTTGCTCAACTAGAGATTATGGATATTTCATCTAAGGAATATGATAATTTTAGTAAATTACATGACAATTATATTACAGATTATTCTAATTTATTAGATCAAAGGATGTAATTATATATTAAAACTCGAAATGAGAGAAATAGAGGAATTTAGAACTATCCCAATAAATTAAGGATATCTTGTGCAAAATATGACAAATCCTTTCATTAAGGGTATTATAGACATTTTACCAAAAATGAATAGTAGTAGGCCATTTATAAAAATCTCCCCTTGTGCAACCCCATGTCACTTTCTGACCTGACAATTCCAAGAAAGGAAATTGCACCAACTACTTCTTGGGTTATCTCTTGTTTACAAAAATTCACATTTTTACAATGTTTTAAAACAGAGAAACCTCTTCTGTTTTGGCGCATGCCTCTTCTTGTACCATTGGACGTCATACTCTATTCTATTTCTTTCTACTTAATTTTGACGCTGCTCCAAGGCAACATCAAGATCTCTGCGACGATGGCATAAAAAGAAATGGAATCAAACTTTCAAATGGATTCGGGCATCGACCCGAAAAAGGAAGAGGGTCGAGATTCAAAAGGTGAAATGGGATAAACTGGATGACAAATTAAATAAACAAATACACAAATAAACTATAAAAATATCGTAACTATAATAGATTTTTAAATTTTAGTTTTCTTATTCAAAGTAAATATAATCCATATTTGTTAATTAGATTTATTATAGTACTTTATTTTATAACCTCAAAAACCTAACAATTAGTATGTCGAAACTAATTTTCTTTGTTCAAATTGAAAATTATAATCTTGTTGGAGTTATGATTTGTTAATTAAAATAATGAAGTAAACTTGAAAAAATCTAGAATTGACAATTAGCTAGTATCTCACATTGAAAAATTATCACAACATTAGAGGAATGGTCTCCTTTAAAAAGGAGCTAGTATCCCATATTGAAGATTACTAAAACATTAAAGAATGATCTCCATTAAAAAGGAGCTAAAGGAGAATCATGTATAAAAATGTTATTTGGGCCTTCAATTGCATTGGGTGATCGATTAAAATAGTTAAAATTTTTTGTAAAAAAAAAAAAAAAAAATTAGATCACTCGAAAAAAACCAAGAAATCATGGCTAGTGTTTTCGCTTCACGGTTAAATCGGCCGGATTGATGATTTATTAGTCAGTCCTTTATCTTCTTGTTAATGTATGAATACTGAATCGGATTAAAGGTGGGTTCATGGTTTTCCAAGTTAAAACCATCGGTCCGATCCAATCCAGTCCATTTCTATAACTTTGACATATATATCTCACTTTTTGGACCTTTTTACCTCTCTAAAAAATTTAAATACCTTGAGGATCCTTAAATAATGGTGATTTGATTAGATGAAAAATTAATACAAAAAATGGATAAACATGGTATCAAACCCACCCCACACCACCGCACCCCTCACCTCAACCCCTCAATTTCTTCACAAAATAATTTATGGCAATTTTCTCCATTTTCAAAAGGAAGACTGGTGAATGAGACTATAAATCCGTAATTAGAACATTGATTTTCTTCTTTCAAAACCCAAAAGGCCAATTTCTTCTTCAACGCAACTCTCGGTCTCAAAGCTTCAGATTTAATTTCCCTTTAGCGAAGCCGGTCGCGAAGTATAACTATAAGTCTAGTGTATTTCCTGTATTTTGCAACATTTTGTGCTAAAATATGTGCTTGGTAGACATAGATTTTGCAATATTTCATGTATTTTGCAAAAAGTCTATTGTATTTCTTGTATCCCGTAATATTTTTGTAACATATTTTGTAGTACTCATGGATTACTTGTTAATTTGTGCTAAAAATATGTCTTTGGTAGATATATTCTTTAATCATTAATTTCGAAGAGGAATACTTTTTGCTATTAGGGCTGTAAAAGTAAAAATAATAAGCTTGATTTTGTTGGGAAAAAAAAATTATGGGATGAAAGGCTAGAGAGAAAAATTCAGAGAATTCTCAAAAAGATTTGTATTCTATGGCTTGGCTCATAAAATGTCTTAAGCACAAGGCCTTTTATAGGTACAAAGGATCCCAAATACATTGTATGAACTTAAGAGACTAATTAATGACTTTTCTTATATACTATGAATAATAGGATACATATAACCATTTGGATACATGATTTAAATAGATGCATGAATATTAAATAAACTAATTCATGTATCAAATTTAATTTTTTTCATCATTCATGAATCAAGTTTAATTTTTCAACACCCCTTCTTAAACTTGATTCCCTCTTGATAACTCCAATCCAAGTACACAATCTTGCAAAATCATCATTCTTCAATGGTTTGATGAAAATGTGTGCTACTTGATCATTGGTCTTCACATAAGCAAGCTCAACTTCTTTGTTCTCAATGCACTTTCTAATGAAGTGAAATCTTGTATCTATATGCTTGCTTCGATCATGGAACATAGGATTTTTACCTAAAGCAATAACTGACTTGTTATCAACATAAATTGGTGTAGCTTCGTTTTGAGGCATATGAAGCATCACCAATAATTTCCGTAGCCAAATGGCATGACAAACACACGATACAGTGGAAACATATTCAGCTTCACAAGTAGAAAGGGTCACAATGGACTGCTTCTTTGAACACCAAGTGAAAGTGGTGTTACCCATGAAAAACAAAAATCCAATGGTGCTTTTTCGATCATTAATATCACTAGCCCAATCACTATCACTATAACCATGAAGCTTGAAATTTGTAGAAGAAGAATAAGCTAAGCTATAATCAAGAGTACCTTTAATGTAGCGAAGTATCCTTTTAGCAATCTCCAAGTGAGTTATAGTTGGTGGGAGTATTCACCGGATTGCAATTTTGCATTTTGAATCTTTCAAGAACTTTCTTTACATAAGTTTCTTGAAAATTAAAAATGTTATCTCCATTTTGTTTTACCTCAATTTCGAGGTAGTATGACATGAGCCCAATGTTGGTCATCTCAAATTCTTGAGCCATCATTCTCTTAAATTCATCAAACATGTTTTCATTGTTGCCGGTGAAGATCAAGTCATCAACGTACAAGCACACAATCATAAAACCTCCAAATGCATCATTTTTAACGTAAAGAGCATACTCATGTGAACATTTGATGAATCCATGATCTTGAAAATACTTGTCAATCCGGCTATACCATGCTCTAGGCGCTTGCTTCAAGCTATATAGCGCCTTCTTCAATTTCAAAACTTTATTTTCATGTTCCTTGACAACATAACCCAATGGTTGTTGAACGCACACTTCTTCTCCAAGGTATCCATTCAAGAAAGCAGACTTGACGTCTATTTGATAAATTTTCCACTTATTTTGAGCTGCTAAGGAAATGATTAATCGAATGGTTTCCAAGCGAGCAACGGGGGCAAAGACCTCTTCATAGTCAATGCCATGCTTTTGGCTATAAACTTTTGCAACAAGTCTTGCCTTGTATTTCTCCACTTCTCCTCAAATATTTTCCTTTACTTTGTACACCCATTTCACGCCAATTTCTTTTTGCCCTTCAGGAAGAGATGCTAGCTCCCATGTATTGTTCTTTTTTACTGCTCGGATCTCCTCATCCATTGCATGCCTCCATTTCTTGTCTTCCATTGCCCCTTCAAAGTTCAATGGCTCGGTGTCTGCGAAGAAACAAAACAAAGATGGATTATCAACAATTTCAGTTTTTACATAAATTTTTGCAAGATTTTTGATACGACTCGGTCCTTCGAAGGGACTATCATGAGGAGATTGAGGAGCAGATGCAAGAAAATGAGGCGGAGTGGCATCTTCACTTGCGTTTTGGCTAGAGTCCCCTTCTTGGAAAGGAAAAATTACGTATTCTTCATTTTTTGGAACATTCCAATCCTACGAACTTCCTTCGTCAAATTTCGCATCTCTACTAATAACAATCTTTCCATTGCAAGGATTGTAAAACTTGTAGCCTTTAGAGTTTGCATCATAACCGATGAAAACAAACTTCTCACTTTTCTCATCAAGTTTTAATCTCTTCTCATCTAGCACATGAATATAGGCAATACTATCAAAAACACGTAAATGAGAAACACTAGGTTTCTCACCACTCCAAGTTTCTTGTGGAGTCATGTCTTGAACACTCCTTGATGGGGAAAGATTAGACAAATACACGGCTCATGCAACAGTCTCGGCCCAAAACTCCTTCTCCTTACTCTTGCTCTTAAGCATACTACGAACCATGTTGATGATGATTCTATTCTTTCGCTCCACAATACCATTTTGTTGCGGTGATCTTGGAATTCTAAGGAAATGCTGAATTCCATTGGTATCACAAAAATTGTAAAACTTCTTGGAAGTGAATTCTCCACCTCGATCTGTCCTTAATGTTTTGATTGATTTGCCACTCTCATTTTCAACAAGGGTTTTAAATTTTTTGAATGCTCCAAAGATTTCATCTTTATTCTTCAAAAAATAAACCCAGGTCTTGTGAGAAAAATCATCAATAAATAGTAAGAAATAATTTGCTTTACCATGAGAGGATGGTTTGATTGGCCCACACACATCCTCATGAACAAGTTGGAGTAATTTTGTTGCTCTTGAGGTGGATTCCTTTGGATAGCTTCTTCTAGTTTGCTTGCCAACGAGGTATCCTTCACAAAGTTGATTGGGATGATTAATTTTTGGCAACCTATTCATCATTTCTTCATTCGTCAAGGTCTTCAAGCCACCAAAATTCAAATGACCAAATCTTAAGTGCCAAAGCTAAGAATTGTCTTCAACACAAGCTTTTAGACACCTTGGATGGTCAACATTAACATTAAGTAGAAACATTCTATTCTTCTCCATTAGTACCTTTGCAATCAGTTTATGAGAAACATCTCTCAAAATAAGACAACGATTCTTCAAGTGAATGTCATAGCCATTCTCAAATAATTGTCCCAAACTCAAAATATTAGACTTCAAAGTAGGTACATAATAAACTTGAGAAATCAAAAGATGACTTCCATTTTTAGCACGAACAAGAACATCACCTTTGCCTTTTATTGGAACTTTAGTTTCATCTCCAAAAATAATGTTGTCTTTTACTGACTCTTTTATTGTTGAGAATAACTCCTTATTGCCACTCATGTGATTGGCGGCACTGATGTCAAGGTACCACAATTGTTTATCCTTTTCTTTTTTGGTTGCCAACAACAACGACAATTCTTCATCTTCCTTTGCTCCAACATAATTCACTCTCTCTTCATTATTGGTGATGTCACTCCTATATTCGGAAGCATGGTGACCATATTTATGACAAGTGTAACATTGAACATTCGACTTGTCATATCTTCTTCCGCCACCTCTCTTGGAGCCATAGTTCCAACGCCCTCGTCCTCTCGATTGATTGCTAGATCCTTTATTATTCAAATTTTATTTTCCATCATTTCTTTCATTACCAAGACCATAATTTCCTCTGTGACCACGACCTTGACCATGAATTTTACCTCTTCCTTGAGATCATCCTTGCTCTTTCTATTGACCTCCCAAGGAGACATTCGTTTGAAGAACTTGAGCCACAGGTTCTCCTTTCTTCTTCAATCTTTCTTCATATGCTTGCAAGGACCCCATGAGTTGATCAAGGGTCGTGGTATCCAAGTCATTAGACTCTTCTATGGCAACACTAACAAACTCAAGTTTTGAGTCAAGCAATCTAAGAATTTTCTCGAAGACACGATTTTCTTCAATATTATCCCCTTACCGCTTCATATGATTGACAATGGAGGATACTCTAGTGAACTAGTCAAAGACAGATTCAGACTCTTTCATGTGCAGAGATTCGAGCTCCCCACGAAGGATTTGAAGGCGAACCTTCTTCACTTTTTCAATTCCCTTGAAATTGTTCTCGAGAATCTCCCAAGCTTCCTTAGCTTTTGTTGATGACGCAATTTTCTCGAACATGGCTTCATCTATGCCCATGTGAATAATAGAGAAAGCATGTTGATCAAACTTACGGTGCCTTTGCAAGGCATTCTTTTGAGCTTGACTAAAAGCTCGTTCATTCTCTGGTTCATCATAGCCTTTCTCTACAACTTCCCATGCCTCTTGTGAGCCGAGCAACGCATTCACGTGTATACTCCAATGTCCATAATTTTCCTTTATTAGTTTGGGAACAGCAAAAGGAAATGAACTATTCATCTTTGAAATGGCTTTGACACCACTTAGTTGGAAAAAAAAAAAAAAAAAGATTATGGGATGAAAGGCTAGAGAGAAAAATTCAGAGAATTCTCAAAAAGATTTGAATTCTATGGCTTAACTCATAAAATGTCTCAAGCACAAGGGCTTTTATAGGTACAAAGAATCCCAAATACATTGTATGAATTTAAGAGACTAATTAATGACTTTTCCTATATACTATAAATAATAGGATACAAAGAACCATTTGGATACATGATTTAAATAAATGCATGAATATTAAATAAATTAATTCATGTATTAAATTTAATTTTTTTCATCATTCATGAATTAAGTTTAATTTTTCAACAGGTTTTAATTGCACCTGTTGCAGTAGAAAGTTCGTATTTGAGATTCCATCTACATGTTGGGTGTTATATATTTTTATTAATTATTGAAAGAGTTTGGTTCTCCTATTTTGATGATGCTTTGTTAATGTTACAGAGACTTCCCATTATTTGTTATGGAACTCATAATTCACGATAAGCCATCAATCTCTACAGTTATGAAATCCATTCGTTGAGATTAATTGTCAGATTTTTACAGTTAAATTATGGAATTCTCAACATTACTTACTTTTTCTTGATAGTTTCGTTTATATGCCTTATTTGGTTTAGCTACTATTCTGTATGTTACATATTAAATGTGCGATATATCATCATCTTACATTTTTTATTTCTTCATGTTACTATTTTTGCAGGTGAATTTTGAATTCCCTTTGTCTGAAGAAAATCGGTTGCACACGCACATTCCTTTTGATGGTTGTAAAGCACTTGCATTAATATTTTGTCATTTTGTTTGATTAAAAACGTACATCTATTGTCGACTTCATCTAGTAACTAGTCCATATATATGTATATGCATGTATTCCAACTAATTTACTCTCATTTCGTTAAGTATATGATTGGATTAATTGAAAATGGTAAATGATGCTTATGACGTGAGATTTCATCTTTCAATGAAAAATTATTTACCTAGGCAATTCCAAAGGGAGATAAATTATGTGTTAGATTTTCGTTGAAGTCAAATGAACTTGGCATACACTGTTTGTGCAGGTATACTGAAATCAATATTGTTGGGGTTAAATTTCGATTTTCCAAGCTGTAGTGATGTTTTTGTGTCTTCTTATTTTTTATTACAAGCATCATGTTAATTGTATGTCCAATCAATTATTATGCTTGAAGAATTTGTTTAGTTCACTACTCTCCAACTACGAAATATCGAGAAAAATCAAAGTACACCTGTTATAAATTCTTGATTGAAGACTAATTCTTGACTGATCAGTTATGTGACTCATCTATCAAGAGAATTGTCATTCTCAAAATCTAGTTTCAGTTATTCTTGACAGATGATTAAATTTTGATCTGTTGAGTTATCTGTCATATGAACTTTTATTCTCGACAGATGAACTGTTGTTCTCAACAGTTAAAGTCAGTAATTCTTAATAGATGACTAGTTCTTGACAGATCAATTTTGCAGTCATCTATTCACATGTCCAACTTCGATTGATCTGAACATTATATGTATGTTTTGTATTAACACGTACGAATTATTATAATATGATCTTGTGTACTTTGTTCTTGCAAATGAATTTTGAATTCCTAGTTCCAGAAAAGGGGCGCTTGTGCACCCATATTTCTCGAAGGAACAATTTCAAGTTCATAAAAACAGTATTGGAGAATTCTAACTATCGGCAGTGAGAAGATTTCTATAACTCATGCCTAATCGAGTTATCTGACATACCTTTTTTTAGCCCAATTGATCCAACAACTACTATTAAGATTGATTAGAATAGATAAGGCAAAGAAGATTTGGTGGTTGTATATATCTGTGCTTATGCATCTCTGAGAGTTGTTGTTTTTCATATTTTGTGTTTGCTGTGGATGTAGGGTGGATGTTGCTATCTTTGTGATATGGGAACTTATCATTTTCTCTATCATTTATTTACATTGTAGACATTTATTGTTTGTAATTATAAAGCAAGATAGCCTGGCTCGAAAAATGAAGTGAAGAATGCTTTTCCCATTATTTATTTAGAAATCAATTAAGTGAAAACTCTACAAAGTGTAGCTCGTGAGAATCCTTGGCCATTGCTTTTATGGTGTAGATTTTATTTGTTTTAGAGGATTGGTTTCTCTTTATCTTTGACATATTTGTTGGTTTGTTTGATTAGCATAGGACAAAATTAAATTGCTTCATTAAATTCTAACTATGGGAATTTTAAAGATCAAAATACCTCAGGATGATGGCTTTTCTTGTTTTAACATATTTAGCAATTATTTCCACATCTGGTACACAATCATTGATTACCAACAACTACAAAAGGAAATTTTATGATAAAATGGTACTCATGATTGAAGATTCATATTTCCTTCCTTCCAAGAATTTCATTATAAATAGCGTGGCATTGCTTTCGTCTCATTCACACTTAAATACTCCTCCAGCTTTGTCACACTTATATAAATCAAATACAACCATATTGAGATAATGGGTTTGTCCATGGGAAGTAATGAACCATTCAATTTGAATGAGTCTTAGCCAATACTCGGTTTGTCCCCATTTTTCTACCATAATCGAATCAGATGATGAGGAAGTCACCTCTCCAAATGGTAGGAGAGGAATTTCTTCCATTCCTTTTTCCAATCTGGACGAAATTTCAAGTAAATGATCATAATCGCCGAACAATGTACTAGATGATATGTTCAAGTTCATGATTCTATATGAAGATAAATTCGATGACAATGAGTAGGAGAAAGTTCCACCTTCTGAGATTATTGTTATAAGTTCGGACGATTCCAATGAAGATAGTGGGGGGATTATACAAATGTTGACGACAATTGAAGTGGCCAATAACTGCATACGTCATCAACTATAATTATGTATTGTAGTTTTGTCATTGATTAATATAGTAACGTTTGTACCAAATGTAGAGCAATAACATATCTCTTATATATCTTATTTGTAGTCAAATTTCTACTTTGCAACCAAATGTTGAGAATTATAAAAACCTTCAGTTGGGACCGACAGTTTAATTGTCGAGATGTTATGAAATATTTTGTCTATATAAGTATTTTTCTTGTGAACTTAAACATGACTAATGTCTGCAAATGATAATGATAGAAAAATACTCAGTTCCACTCTTTCTTGCCCAAGAGTATTTGTCTTTTAGTAAGATCGGGCGTATTCACAATTCTAATCCATTTGTATCTATCCGAGCTCCTAGAATGTGATGACATTTGCTCATCACCATCAACAATAATAGCAGCCTCTATACCATGGAACGGGTCATTCTAATCTAATGTTGTAGCCCCAATATAAAAAATTATTGTTTTTGGTGTATTATCATTCGTGATACTTTGCATTTGATTGACCTCATCACGCCTTACATTTTGGTGAAATTCTGTTATGACTAATAAATGATTTTAGAAATTTGTATCCCTCCACATATTAATAATTGGAAGCTCGATTATAGTAATGCATATAGCCATTTTCTTATAAACTGATATATACTAATTTAAGTCTTCATCTTTGCGTAGTTTGGCCGGAGGTATATTCATGTTCAGACTTTGAACTTCAATTTAATTTGAGTGCGGGAACAAGAATACAAAGTCTGTCCTTTAAACATAACATAAGTTTAGGTAGGGTGATACTTGTCCGAACTACAATTGAAGTGGTTTTGTTCGATTTCCACTTCCATTCATTATCCATATGAATAAACTTGTTCCCGTACGATACGATAAATCTTAAATGATTACTCATATATGAAAAGTTGAGATTGTAATGATAAGAATTTTGCAAAAGATGTTGGCATTTAATTGCATGAAAGTTGCACATTTGAATATTTAAATCTATACAATAGATAACAGGTGAAATCGACAGTTGAAATATTTATCCTGATAGTTTTCAAATGTCAAATTCAATGGTTGAAATGTCTATTCCCACAGTTTCAAAATGTCGAATTTGACAATTAAATTGCCGTAACTGAGGAAAACCGTTTAATGTTAGTGTGATTGGAATAAATTGTTCACAACATTAAGTGGGATCATCAATATCGTTTTAACAAATGACAAAATATCATTCCCAAATAATTTGCACAATGAATCATTAAAGAGAGAATCCTTCAAAATATTTATTGGGTTTGATTTGAAGAAATTATCCAAAACGTTAATGGTAATCATCAATTCTCAACTACAACTTAATAACATTTTCCCAAATAGATAACTCAATACTTTATTAAATACATAATCATTCACAGCATTTTGTAGAGGACATTGATATATTTATTCCGAAAGATTTGAAAAATCAAACAATTTAGTGAATAATAATAATAATATGCTAACATCTCAAAATGGAAGATGAATCTAATAGTAACTTCTTTTTGACGAAAGGAGTGGAGAAGATGAAAAAAATTAGGGTATGTTAATGGTAAAAGAAATTGGTTTATGCTCACTTTTGAAAACCTTTTTTCGTTTTTCTTTTTGTTCAAAAATTCATATTATCGAATGCAATATACATATATCCAATTTTTATTGCACACAAATCAAATCATCACATCATAGCATTAATGGACATACAAATTAAGCATCAATGAGTATTAAATGTGCCCAAAAAGATATCAACAAGGGTTATTTAGACATTTCACACCAAAAAGTGACATTTTTTTTAAGCACCATTAGTAAAAGTAATAAATTTTAGTGTATTTTCAAATTTAGTGAAATCTTTAAAAAATACCCATTACAATAATGTCATCTTCTAATAATCTTTGCAAAAATGTTACTTTTGGACTTGCCAACTCAAACTTTAATAATTTCCACAAAGCCATAGTGTTCATCCCCTCGTTATCTAATCCTAAACTTCCCAAATCAAACCCTAATTAAAAAAAATTACGCGTTTCTTCTTCCCAAATTCAAACTTGGATTAAATCCAAATTCTGAAGGTAAGCGACGAAATGAAACCTATATACG